TGCTTGCTTATACAAGTTTTGTGTCATGGACGAAGACCTTTTCGATTATGTTCCAAATCTTATGTCCATCAATATTTCCATGTCGTGTAAGCTGTTTTCTCCCGGCATCATTGATGGGGCAAACGAACACACTTGATGGAACCGAGGGCAACGCTCTTAGAGAGAGCGGTGACAGTGGCCGTGACAATGATTTCTAATAGGACTTCATAGCTAGTGATTCCGACTAAACTGCGCATGACCCAATCTGGCAGGTCAAAGTGCATGGTGATTCTGTTAAATAAGTACACTTTATTAGTGCTCCATTTTATATTATTCATTTTTTAGATGCACCTATGTTCTCTTCTCTGCTAGCGAGCTTGTCGATTAAAAAAAGAAACGACTGCACAACTTTTCACTGGCCACCCCGTGTATATAAGAACTGCATCTTGACCTTCAAGGTAGTGCCAGATTTCTCCTGTGTGCTATTGAAGAATAAAAAATCGCAGCTAACTAAAAGTGGACTGCAAGTCTCTGTGTCCAGTTGGAATCTCCTATCTCTCATTGCCCATTAGCAACAATTGGCATGTTCAAGTAGTTAACACCTGTCCATCACGGTGTGCTTTGCGCCTCCTCAAGTTTCTCTCCTGTACAACGCTGCGATGAGCATTAGCGGCAACGTCGTCGCCAATGTAAGCGTTAGCGCCCTCTGCTTCGCATTTACACATGGTTCTTTTTAGCGGGAGATGTTGTAGTTTTTTTATTTCTGTGCAGGTCGTGTTTGCACTATATACTATCGGATGCGTTCACGAAATCTCCGCATAATTTGTGCACCTTGCTTTTTGGAACTCCAAAATTACGAAAAACAAAAGTGTGCAAATCATGGCAGTAAATACGGTACTCAACCACAGTTGCAAAAATAAGTAGAGCCTTTGAAATGCCAAGCATCACTGCAGTGTACCAACACCTGACCTGCATGTTGAAGCTCAGTGTGTGCAACTGCGGCCTTCATTTTTGCATTTGATAAGCTATTCAATATAGCAAAGGTATTGACATTAGTACTTCGAAAAGCACATTCTCAAGTCTCCCTTTAACTCTTGCCCCTGATTAGTTGAGAGGTGCCTTTAATGAGATTGGTCAGAAGGACGCACAGGAGACTAGGGTGAAGACATGAAAATTATTTGCAGGTATCACCTAGTGCAGCAATAGAAACACATATATTTGGCTCAGTGGTGCCCCGCCGTGGTGGTCTAGTAGCTAAGGTACTCGGCTGCTGACCTGCAGGTCGCGGGTTCGGATTCCGGCTGCGGTGGCTGCATTTTCGATGGAGGCGGAAATGTTGTAGGTCCGTGCGCTCAGATTTGGGTGCATGTTAAAGAACGCCAGGTGGTCGAAAGTTCCGGAGCCCTCCGCTATGGCGTCTCTCATAATGATATGGTGGTTTTGGGACGTTAAACCCCACATATCTATCAATGACGCAGTGGTGAGGTATTTGATGCAGTCGATATTAAATCTTATTTTGCAGCACTCTCCATGTGGGTTGGTGTGAATCAGCATTGGCACTCCTTGAGTAATGTTGATGTGGGTTGCCACGCTGAAAAGGCGAAAGAAAGCCAGAAACTTAGACCAATTAGCAATAAAGTAGTCGGCTTGAGCCAAGCAAAGCAAGCACAGACCCAAGAAGGGAGTGAGGACAGCACAAACACATTCTTGGCTTCCTTCTCCTGTTTGCACAAATACATACCAGCCCTCTAAGCAAAGTAGAAGTAGCCAAAAACTAGCCATGTCTACAGAAAACAAAATGCAAGAGGCTTTTTGGGAAAAATTTAAGTGTGTACAGCATAAACACCAGAATGGTTGAGATTGAAGTATAAATCAACTTTAGCAGTCGTTTTGTGCAAGGTGAAGATATTTAAAACAAAAAGCATGGCACACCCTTCATGCATCTTGCAAGACTGTTCTTGAAGGGAACCCTTTTCCAAGTGGCCGTGGAATGAATTCACTAAAAGAGCTTATTTTTGAACACTAATTGTGAGCTTATTGTGAACACTAATTTTTACCTGCGCTGTGTGGTGCGAGCGCTTTGCACGAGTAGCAGTGCGGGCAGCAATCGCAACTCCATGTATTATTGGGAGTTCTACATTGGCGGTGATGACCTATGATATTGAAAAAATTAAACTGGCCAACAAGTGCTGTAATAATAACACGTGGTTGCTCGCTTGGAGAGGCGTTATTAGTACCATTTGCTTATCAAGTAGTGCCATACACACGTGCTGTACGTGATAGTCGGTGCGGCGAGGTTTCTTGGCTCCCGTGCTGACCTTTTTAAGGGGGTTCCGCACGAGGTGGCCGCAAATGATGGTGTAGCGCACTTATGTTGTCTATTAAAAGCTCTTGATGCTATCATGTCAGGCTTTTCTTTAAGTAAAGGACCACTGTTACCTAAGATTCTTGTGCAATCAAACTTTTTGAATTTTTTTTAGTGTGATGGGTTTTTCATTTTAAATGTTACCGGGGAACCTAGTTTTCAACAAAGCCCTTTTTTTTTTTTTTTAAATAATATTACAAGAGCTAGATAGGTCACGTGGTACGTAAAAAGGTAGTGCAGTTTATACCTGGCGATAATCTGTTCAAAACTTCCTTCAAAACTTGTTTCAGTGTTATGTGTACTATATGCAAATTAAAATATGCACTGGGGCCCCCATGTTGCTAAAAAGTTGTATCTTCAAGCTCCCAGGATGACATATTAAATGTGCTAACTGCTCTGAAGCAAAGTTCTCCTGCTCCAAAATCGAAATTTTGCTGCTCCAAAAACTGCTCTCAATTTAGCCTCAGCCTTCTTACTCTCCTGATGATGCCAAAAATTTTATTAGATGTAAATGTCAAGAAAGAAAAGTGGACAGAAGGATCACTTGCCAGCAGCTTTTCTTTCTTCAAATTTATGTTACAATTACTTCTCATAACATTCCTTTTTTGGCATCATTGTCTATTATGTCTCATAGGTATAGTTGCTACGGTTGAAGCATAAGTTGTAGTTGACCTCACATTCCAAAGTCAAAGATCATGCATTATGACAGGAAACGATGCAAACAGTTCATCTCGTGTTAGATCTGCAATGTAGATTAGGGCAAAGCAGCCTACATGAGGGGCCCTTTAGATTGCTTTTGACTTCCAATTGATGTTTAAAGTTGCATTGACCATTCGGTAGCTCACACAATGAGTCTCCATGCAACAGTTTTTCCGGGTGTAGCAGCCACGTATCCAATAGTTTTTTTTTTTCTTTTACACAAGGCCTGCCTGAATGGCCAAATATGAATGCACAGTTGTGACATTACGTGCAAGGCACAGGGGGGGGGGGGGCAGGCTGTTGTGGTCGCGTGGCAAAATGCAGGCAAAACAAACCTCTTCTTCTCCCAGGGCCTTGGTGGTGATATTTAAATACACCCATTTATAAATATTTAAAAAGAAAGCTAGCGAGAAATAAAAAAGAGGAAAAAATATAGGAAGGAAAATAGTTATCAGTAGAAATAAGGAATACATGAAAAAGAAAAACGCTCGGCACTTTCTTTTTCCACATCCTTTCCAATTAAGCCAATCTTTTGTATAATCGAAATACTAAGTTCAATTATAGAAACTGTCAATACAATTCAACTGCCATGCTTTTACTCTGCATACTCGAAGGCCAACTGCCCCGACGTCATTAGATATGGATAATTTGGCTGAAATCAAGGGAAGACGAAGGTAGCTAATAAAGTAGCCAACAAATATTTTGTCGCCATCAACATAGGGGTTGGTGTGAGGCCAGTTAGCTTCTGCTTTCCACCAGGCTTGAGCGGAACCAAAGAAAGCTAAGCTCATCATCCAAGAAGGCACTCAAGAGACCCAGCCACTATCTTCGGAAAAGGAGCATTGCAGTGGGAGCTTAGCTTAGTCGCTGTTTTCTTGTGTTCTCTTATGTGAAGATTCTTTCGTGTGTTACAGCTGTATGGGACAGGAACAGTGCGATTGGCATGTTGCCAGCTATCTAACCTCGACATTAGACATTCAAGTGTTGTGCTACAATAGTGCCTAGAATACTAACTAGTGTGCCTGTTGCCCACTCTGTACAATCGAAGGATGGGGCGCCAATTTTTGTGAATGGTTATGGCCACGAGGTGTGATAATTGCGCTGGCCATCTGCTTTGGACTCGCCTTGTCAATATCTTTGTATCGCCAAGGCAAGTGCACTACTGTTATGTTCCCATAGCTGTCACATTAAGAGCTAACCCACAGTGAGAGTATGGCTGCAGCAAAGTTCATTGCATTATGTGATGTTTTCACGGAATGGGACTGAAGGTTGGAAAAAAGGACGGCTTGCTTTTGAACGCACTTTCATGGAGCCCACATTTGATCACTGTCCCCGCGATTATAGACTATCGTGCCTAATAAAAATAGTCAGAGCTGGCACATTGATCAGTACCCTGAAATGAGTAGTAAACCTGCAACCAGCTGGAAGCGCTTGTTGAAACAACTGTTGGTAGGACAGACTGGTTTGAGAAGGAGTTCGACAGAGTTTTATTCTTTTGCTGAGATGAGACCAGGTCAAAATAGATGTTGACAGTAGCTCTAAGAAGTACAGTGTAGAGCAGCATTAGTTATGGGTGTTTTGAGGATTATGAAACTAAAATGCATGCCGTGACAGCCCATGGTGATGTGAGTTATGGAATTTGCAGAAATATGAAACAATAATGCTATATAATTTTAGCTGTAGTGCTGGCATAAAGTCAAATTGGTCTGTCTAAGCCAGACAGACCAATTTCAAAGCAAAGGTAATTTGCTTATCTTAGTCTTACAAACCACCAGTTGAGTGCAGACAAAGATGGAGGAAGATGTGCTAGATGACCACTGCCATTGTCTTCACCGGGGCCACAAGTGACATTTGGTGCCATTGATATACTGTAGTCGGCCCCATTATTTTCTTGCCTTTTTAAAACATGTACAGGGTCACATTTTAGTTCTAACATGTGGTCCACTTCTGTTTACAGAGTACTTCCAGGTGAACAGCTTTGAGCAGTTTTGCATCAACTACTGCAATGAAAAGCTGCAGCAGTTCTTCAATGAAAGGATCCTCAAAGAGGTGAATCATGTGATTAAACTCTATCCACTCTCTCACCATAACAAACAATTTCAGGAGCAAGCATTGTACGAAAGAGAAGGCCTGTCTGTAAAGAAGATTGAGTACGTAGACAACCAAGACTGCATTGACTTGCTCGAGGGCAAGGGCACGGGCATCTTCGACCTGCTGGACGAAGAGAGCAAGCTTCCTCGTTCCAGCCACACCCACTTCACGTCGGTGCTGCACAGCACACACCCCCGACATTTCCGGCTGGCTGTGCCCCGAAAGTCTAAGCTCCGAGACCACCGAGAGATCACCGACGACCAAGGATTTCTCATCAGGCACTTTGCAGGCGCTGTGTGTTATGAAACGGTATGGGGACATTTGTCCTGTGTGGCATTCTTTTTTTACTTCACTGAAAGCAAACAAATCTAGTAACAGAGGGCCTCACAAACTCACGTTTCACGTGTTGGGTTTACAAGCCGGAATCCTTGTTTTATGTTTGCAACCTTTGTATTTGCTCTTTTATGTTCGCAGCTGCATACATTCCCATGTGCACTTTTTTGTAGCTCTTCTTTTCGTGTCGCAGGCCACGTAAAAATGTCTGCAAACCTTCCCAATAAATGGTAAGATTGCATAGTGTGGTTTCATCATCATCATCATCATCAGCCTGACTACGTCCACTGCAGGACAAAGGCCTCTCCCATGTTCCGCCAGTTAACCCGGTCCTGTGCTTGCTATAGATAGGAGCAGCGATGGCGTAGTGGTTAGATCATCCGCCTCGCATGCAAAAGGTCCGTGGTTCAAATCCCAGTACCACGCAGTTCCCAACCGATTAAAAAAAAAAAAATCCGCGTGGTGATGGAACTGCGTTACGAGGCCTGGGGTGCGGCCTCACCGGTAACCTTCGCCGGGAACGCACTCCCTCACCAGAGAAGGATTGGCCACCCTGGTGCAGTATCTGGCCACTACCTCCCGCATGCATACGTCAAATAGTGCGGTTTATTCTGAAACTAATGCGGTCACCAATGCTGGAACCTTTTATTCTGCAGATAAACCTCCGTACAACCAATTCCTTTATATTACCAAGTTTTACTATTTCTGCGCTCAGAAAGACATGTATTTGCAAAATCTATGTAATAAAGTGGCAGCAAAAGACACCCTTTGTATGACAAATTTTCGCTGTGAGCAACCTAGAAATTTTGCCCTGAATAGTGTCATTTTGGCTTGATCTTCTGCGGTTGCCTCACCAACAACGAAGCATGGAGCAGCGGCAGGGCGCACGGCGCACTTAAAGCCCTGGCGACTGCTAGGCGAGTGCGGGTCCTCGTTAGTGCACACAGGTAGGCGCACGAGGCGGGCCAGCATTGCAGCCAGCCTTGCGGCGAGTCGGTGCAGTCGAAACGATTCGGCCAGAAGGACCTCGCCATTTTTCGGCTCCCAGTGTTCCCATCATCACAAATGCTCAATAGCACGCCAAACTTTGTTCGTATATTTGGACCCTTAAAAACCTATCAGAAAAAAAAGAGTAACGATGAGATGTGAAGACAAGTTGCAAGCGGTCACCATGTGTTCCAGCGTACAGAGAAGTTTTCATCAAGCTCCAAATGTGCTACTTACAACTGAGACTTTATCTCGGAGCACCTTTTCGCTTGATTTATGTAGTCTTAAGCAATGCAGTATGTATTCATTACAAGGTTTGGAGGCCAAAACGCCAGAAAACATCTGTATGGTCGCAGTAGTTAGCATTGCGGACCGCGTGATTTCTGCCTATGGCAAGATGGCAGCATGTGGCTTCACCTGAGGGGCGCCTCCTCCACTCGAGCAAGCTTCACTTAAACCTCCTTGGTGATAAATTGTGTGATTAAAGCATCAACCATTTTCACGCTTGACTTTCCTTTAACCACGGCCAATAAAAATGAGTGTCCTACTGCATGAGAGTGCAACGGTTGCATAAGTTGAACCAGAAAATGTGGTTACTTCCTCAATCATAAATCAATATTCTGGAGCCCATACGTAATCCTGACAGATGATGTGAGATACCCTATTTCTAATATACATGAGTGGTGAATGTCCTGGATGTAGAGCACTTCCACTTCTCTTGTTCACTTCTTGTTTGAAGCCATGCTCAGCAATTGGTGGTCTGTAAAATAAGGCACCATATCTTCTCAGCCAGTGTAATGTAAGCACCAAATTCAGTTTTGAGAGCTGGAAACACATCTTGGCCACCATGGAAACACATCTTGGCACTGCATATACTCAAACGCCAGTAGATGCATGTGGCATCACAAGATACAGTCGAACATGGATATATCGAACTTGAAAGGGACCGCAAATTAGTTCGATATATGAAAAATTCAGTATAAAAAAAATACAGGCCCAGGGAGCTTACCTATAGAGGATTATCACCTACAACAGGCGCATTCAAGAATTACAACTAGTTCTACACACATGCTGCAGCGGAATGATTTATTTGAGTGAAAAAACTTGCTTATCTTGGCCTGCTTCTTCGTTTTTGAAGCGTTGAAAGCGCTAGTCTCAATCTTATTAAGGCTGTCTAGGTGCGACAGCCCGGTTCCCTCCATGTGGCCGATACAATGGCGAATGACGCCGAACGCTGCCGCCACTTAGCGGCGGAATATGCTCGTGTAGCCAGCGCCTCGTCCGGATGATCCTCCTCGTCACATGAGCTGTCGGCCTGGGTATCCTGGGTCTCTGCGATCGCAGCTACTATGTCCTCGTCAGTGAGGCTCGCAACAGCCTGCGCATTGCAGTCCGCTTCCACGAAATTGTTCGCAGACACTTCGTGTAGAACTGCTGCTGGAAAGAAGGACGACAACTCACGAAACGCATCATGTATGCGCTCACTGTCACTGTCTTCACTGGTTTCCACAAGCTCTGCTGTCTTGAAGCCTGCCTTGCGGAATCAGTTGACCACTGTGTCCGTCTTCACGTCTCGCCAGGCGCTGAAGATCTCCTCAGGAGAAAACTTCGTGGAGAATTCAGGCTGTTCCTTCGTCATTCACTGCTGGATGTCCTGGCTGCTGACAGCTTCACTTTTACCAGAAATGGTTTTGCCAATGATGTTGTAGCACTGTTTGAATCGATGAAGCCACCCGGTGTTGTCGGTGAAGTCTTTATCAAGTGCAGTGGCAAACCAGCAAACCATTTGGTTTTGGCCATCAGCATTGGGCCATCCACCGGAATGTTCTTCGCGCACACTTCTAAAAAACCAGGCATGGAGTGCCTTTTTTACATTCCAGTGGGCAGGAGCGCGCACATGACAGGCTCCTGACGTTCGCTGCTCTGCGGCCTTTGCCTTGATATCTGCTTCATTTTTCAATCCGCGACGGTCGAACATTTTTCGCCTGCCTCAACACGCTGAATAGTCTTCAACTTCGTCGCAAATTCAACAGTCTTGCATTTCTTGACGCTGGCCATAGCTACACAAGAAGTCAACAATTCAAGGAATCCGCGGCAGCTTTTCACACCACTCACGCAAAAGAGCAGCACATTTGGCGGAACATAGGCAACGTGACAATGGAAGCAACAAAGCGATCGCGAGGCGATGGCCACCTGCGAGGGCAACAGCAAAAAGCGCAACGCGTGGTTGGTTGATCAAAACTCTCGAAAACAGTAACAAAAAATGGCGAAAAGAGGAGGACGCCGGTTTCTTCGTTCTTGCTCTCCGAGTTGACGGGTATGCGGAAAAAGCATGAGAGAGAGAGAAAAAAATTATAAAAAAAGTAGTTTCCCAAGTCTGAGATTGTGCAGTCCGTGCCCTCTTGCCCTTGCCTTTTTTTCGAGTGTTTCGGGTTTGGGGGAGGCATGGTGCTATGCGGAGGTTGCCGGGCGCTGCGAGTGCCACAATGCATCTTCTAACTCGCACGTGAAGCTACGCTGCCACAGAGATCCCGGGGCATGGCGAGTTCCGAAGCGCACCTTCCACAGCGCGCAGTGTTCGATATATCTGAAGGCGGGTAAAAATACCGTTCGATATAAGCGTGCAAATTTCTTTACTTTTACAGAGGAATTTCAAAAGGATAACTCACGAGTTTGATATATCCGAAAATTCGATATATGTGGGTTCAATATATCAGTGTTTGACTGTATTAATAATACCAAAAACTAGCTAAAAGGTAGCCATGGGGTCGTTTACACTGACGACAGACAAAAGTAGCAAATAGGTGCAAACCCTGTCTCCGCGCGTGTGCTGCCGGGAACGGGGCCCAGGCGGACGCAGGCAAATAGGAGAGGAGGTTGTGACAACGGCCAGTGAGGATAGGCCAAGCGCAGTGACGTGTGCTTGCGTGACACAAGAGGGGGGCGTTGTCCTGGCATGTTTGGACACGTGTCTCCATGCAAGAAAGACTTGCACCAGACAAAAAGGCCAGGCAGTGAAGTCACAGTGGCCATGTTGCCGTTTCACGATGGTTTCCGGCGCTCAAGTGCACAGAAACCACGATTAACAACAAGGCACCAGGGGAGGGCCTACTGTATTTGCATGATTGTAGGTCGACTCATTATGTCTTAATATGAAATCCGAAGTTGTGGGGATTGACCTAGAATCGAAAACAGGCCTGCGCTGCATGCACAGCACTGTGCTAGAAGCGAAAGCTAGAAGAGCGGTCTATAAGAGCCTTTTTTTTTTTTTAATATACTTTGGGTAGCTGCTTCAATAAAACTTGCAGGGTACCCACTACATCATTAATCATTAGATAGTAGGCAGGCATTCACAATGTCATCCTTTGTCATTCTTCGGAGAAGCGTAGTACGGGCTGGACATTTGCAAGGAACTTCGTGCAATTTTTGTGCTGTGGTTGACTACAATGAAGAATTATGCCAGATTTAGTAATCCCCACAATACCCCACAGTTGGTGTGCGCCACAGTTAATAAGTGAACAAGACTAAGTTTTTGTAACCGGTTTGAGCATTCGACGACCCACTCATTGCGCTATTCGCATTATATAACTCCTGGTTGTTTGTTTGATGTTCTAAAGTGCTTTATTACTCATATTAACGCAATTCATTTCCCAACATTAAGCCTGCCTAAGACAAGTTTGCGAAGGAGTGTCAAGCATTGTCGTGGTTTAGTGGTAGAGTACTGGGCTGGCACGCAGCAGACCCAAGTTTGAATCCCATTATATTCTTGGTGTTTGTTTACAGTTTTTCTTTTCTTTTTAATTCGTGTGATAGTGGCCACGAACATCGGCGGCGGCAGCAGTGGACAACTATGGCGCACACGTGAACCGTGTTGTGATCTCATAACAGCTTTAGCTGTAAAACGAGTTTCAGTTGTAAAGTCTTTCTGCAAATAATCTGCACATATTTTCGGAAAGCTAGCTTTTCTGCACGAATTTCAAGTACTGCCATGAATCCACCTTTGCACATCAGTGGCTTCGCCATGTGTCAAAAAAGATTTTTTTCAAATAAAATGTGCTCGTGTTCCTTTGTTCTTTTTTTATGCCATGCAATTTTCAGGCGTCGACCTACATTCGAGTCGACTTACAATTGTGTAGATACGATACTTGAATCCTGCAGGTAACAACCATGGATTTTGGGAAGTATACTTGTCACGTACCTTGCCATCTTGCACCCCACCGTTGGTTCGCTAGGCCATGTACTTCATGATTGGCTCCCTCTATGAGACAGGGCGCATTGCCGAAGCCACTCTCCAAAGCTACTGCTAAATGATGTTCAATATAGCAAAAAAGAAATCTTTCATCTTACAAGGAAAGTCCTGAACGAGACAGGAAAAAATTGTAATGTTATACAAAGTAAGGCTGGCAGCTAGCTCCTTTTAATCCGATAGCGTGTGTCTCTGCAAAATGCTAGTGTAAGCAAACAGAGCCTCTCCAGAGAGAAAGGCTGTTTTTGCACGATGTCTTCGTGTTTAGAGTGCAGCACCCAGAAGGACATACGAGCTTCCCATGATAGAGGGCAACTGCGAGCAATAGCACACGTGCCGTTAGAATTAAAGGTTACAGTTTTGGTTTGAGTGATTACCCCCCCCCCCCCCCCCCCCCTCTCGTTTCATCATGCTTGCTCAAGATGGGCAGGGTGTTTTTTCTCTACTCGAGCATTCAATGGCAGGTCTAACTGGCAGCGGAATGTCATCGCATGCGACCTCTGAGCTATGGAGATGCGCCGGCCAGCTCGTTTGATTTCAGCTTCAGCAGCTTGTGTGCATGTACACACCTCAAGTAGAACTTCAGATGCAGAGTGGGGGTGTTACCTATGTGGACTTGATGGAACGTGACTGCAAAAACTCATCTACAAAGTCCATATAATTCTATCACAATTATATTCTACTGCTGAATAAATGTTTTGGGGGAGTAGTGCCTTCAATTCACCTCTTGTTTCATTCCCACCTTGCTTTTGCAAATCTTCATGCTGAAACTGAATAACGAAAGCCTGTTTATAACTCATTTATTTGGGAATTTGTTAGTTTTGTTATATCCATATTGAACTCTAAAACCTGATGTGTTTCACCAATCATTACATTGTTTGACGATCAACAACTGTATTTTGCACTATCATTGTACTACAGTACCTGACTTCGCCTACTGCAAGGCAAACGTCTCTCTCATGATCGACTAATCAACCCGGTCTTGTGCTTTTCGTTGCCATACTACTCCCAAAAACTTTTAAGTCTCATTGGCCCACCTAACTTTCTGCCTCCCCTTCTCACGTTCACCTTCTTTGAGAATCCAGTCAGTTACCCTTAATGACCAGCGATTGTCTTGCCTACGTGCCCTGCCCATGTCCATTTCTTCATCCTGATTTAAACTATAATATCTTTAACCCCAGTTTCTGCCCTGGCCCGCTCTGCTCTCTTCTTGTCTGTAAAAATTGTATTCGGTTTGTTCCCCCCCTATGCAATGCCCCTAGTGGGCCTTTAGGGTACTTGGATAAATAAATAAATAAAATAAATAAATAATGTTACACTTATCATTTTCCTTTCCATCGCTCGCTGCGTTGTCCTCCCAAGTGGAACCCTCTTTGTAAGCCTCCAGGTTTCTGCTCCGAAGGTACTCATCAAGGCAATGTTATCAGCAAATTGTAAATGTTTCGGAAGACAAAAAATCTTATTAAGAGATGACACCATGAAGTCCTCAAATGCAACCGACAAAATAGAGCTAGTGGAGCTTTTGAAGTTAATCAATAGGCGTAAGGTAGCTGATGTCGCAAGGAATAACAGGAGAGAGATGATTGAGCAGGCTGTAAAAAGTAGCAGAAATCTAAAAGCTGTGAAGGCGCACTTGTGCATGGGCAAAAATCGGATGTATGCCCATGCACGTGCAGGAACAAGGAAGGCAACGTCATAACCAATATGGATAGGATAGTCGAGATGTCATAGGAGTTCTACAGAGAGCTGTACAGAAGCCAAAACAATGATATCATGAGAAACAAAAACAGTTCAGAGGGATTCGTCATCCCATCAGTAACGACAGGGGAAGTAAGGAAAGCCCTAGAAGAAATGCAAAGAGACAAATACGCTGGTGAGGATAAGGTAACAACGGACCTTCTGAAAGGTGGTGGAAAAATTGTGTTGGAAACACTAGCCACCTTATATATGAAGTGTCTCTTGACGGGAAGGGTACCAAAATTTAGGAAGAAGGCTGACATCATCTTAATCCATAAGAAAGGAGACGTCAAGAACTTGAAAAATTACAAGCCGAACAACTTACTGTCCTTTTTATAGCTAATAGAATCAAGGCTACATTAGAGTTCAATAAACCAAAGGACCAAGCAGGATTTTGTACAGGCTACTTACTCCACAATCTACCATATTCATACTGTCAATCGGGTTAAAGAGAAATGCGCTGAATACAACCAATTCCTATACATAGCCTTCATAGATTACGAGAAGGCGTTTGACTCGGTCGAGAGATCAGCAGTAATGCAGACACTACGAAATCAGGGCATCGAAGAACCCCACATAAACATACTGGAAGAAATTACAATAGATCCACAGCCACCATAGTTCTCCTTAAAGAAAGTGACAGAATCCCAATAAAGAGGGGTGTAAGGCACAGAGACATGATCTCTCCAATGCTATTTAACACGTTTTAACAGGAGGTTATTAGAATCACGGATTGGGAAGAGTTAGAGATAAGAATTAATAGAGAGTATCCTAGTAACCTGCGACTCTCTGATGACATTGCCTTGATGAGTGACTCAAGCTCAAGAGACGAATTACAGCTCATGATTACAGAACTGGACATGGAAAGCAGAAAAGTAAGTCTTAAAATAAATATGCACAAAATTAAAGTAATGTGCAACAGTCTCGGCAGAAAACGGCCCTTTGCGATAGGTGGAGGGACGCTGGAAGTTGTAAAGGAACAGGGTATGTCTACTTGGGACAGGTAGTAACGGCGCAGCCAAACCATGAGAATAAAATAACTGGAAGAATGAGGATGGGTAGATCACATTCGGCAAGCATTCTCAAATCTTGAATGGTAATCTGCGACTAACCCTCAAGAGGAAAGTATATAACAGCTGCATCGTGCCAGTACTTGCCTACAGAGCAGAAATCTGGAGGCTTACAAAGAGGGTTCAGCTTAGGAGGACGACGCAGCAGGCACTGGAAAGGAAAATGATTGGTGTAACCTTAAAAGTCAAGAAGAGAACATAGTGGATCAGGGAACAAACCGGCGTTAAGGATATTATAATTGAAATCAGGAAGAAGAAATGGACATGGGCCGGGCACTTAGCACATAGGCAGGATAACCGCTGGTCATTAAAGGTAACTGACTGGATTCTCAGAGAAGGCAAACGCATGAAGGGGAGACAAAAAGTTAGGTGGACCAATGAGATTAAAAAGTGTTCAGGTGTAGGGTGGCAACGAAAAGCATGAGACCGTGTTGATTGGCCAATCATGGGAGAGGTCTTTGCCAAGCAGTGGGCATAGTCAGGCTGATAATGATGAATATGAATTCAAACTCGGTTGATTATAACTTGCAGGCCACTAGAACTAATGCCCTGGTTCCGGCATGGCTTTGTATATTTCTACGTACCACCGCAGCGACCTAGGCGCTTGTTCATTGACAGGGGCAGTTTGCCGTCCTTTTCTATTGTCTTTGTGTTTCTAGTTTGCTGCTGCATCTCTACCAATCTCTTGTAGGCCAAGTTTGTGGAGAAGAACAATGATGCGCTGCATGCATCCCTGGAGGGCCTGGTGCAGGAGACACAGAACAGCTTCCTGCGGGCCCTGTTTGACGAGAAGCAGTCCAAGGGGGGCAAGCTGTGCTTCATCAGCGTCGGCAACAAGTTCCGCAGTCAGCTGCAGGCTCTCATGCACAAGCTGCAGCAGACGGGCACCCACTTTGTGCGCTGCATCAAGCCCAACCTGCGCATGGTCGACCACTGCTTCGAAGGCGGCCAGATTCTCTCGCAGATCAAGTGCTCAGGTGCAGGGCACATGGCAAGCGTTGCTCTAGTTTAACGTAAAACACCAATTGCTAGGGGTTTGTGAATATTCAAAAATTTCTAATAACAAATCAAATAATGTTAGATTTGGTACTCAAATTAAATTGTACGTATTCAAATATTCCTTTTAATACTTTTTTGAATAAGCACTGAAAGAAAGAACCCAAAGGAACATCACATTGGAACATCCAGGGAGCACTTCTTTTGTTTATTTATTGGATTACCAACCTTTTATGAAACTATCGATTCCACGATAATCACAGATGAAGGTCCTTCAATTTAAAACTCAAATGTCACCCACCAAAAGTGCCCTCAATCTGCTATGCTCACGGTGATATTCGTGATGCTGATTGCACAATTTTTATGCCTCAGTTTAATTTAAAAACTGCACAGTGACCTTTTACCGCCTTGAATTCTGAGTAACTCCTGATGTCTCATAGCTTGTCACTGCTTATACGAGCTTACCTGTATATGTAATTGGTGCATTTTTGCCGGTGTGATGAGTCAGCAAAAACGACGACCAAGGTGCGGCGGTGAGTGCGTGTGATTTCGTGCCAACTGTGAGCATAAGGTCAGCCAGTCAGCTGATTACATGTGGTGGCCCATAGAGGTGGCTCGCCACGATTGTGCTATGTGTGAGGATGATGTGACGAGAAGCTTTGTGGCTGGGTACGAGACGAAGCAGTGGCAGACAAAAGTTACATGAACACGAAGACAAAGCTAAATAAGGAAACGGCTTATATGAGCCCTGTAAGAAAAGTCTGAAGACCTCTCAATAAATTGGAAACACAACGAAGGCTGAGGTGCAGGGTAGGAGGCGGCGACAGGCGATTTGGAGTGGGGTGCATCTCGTTGTGCGACGCTGTGGCGACGATGACTCTTAACGGCATAGGTGTGACTACGGAGCAGTCAACCCACATCGAAGACGTGATGCTCCATGCAGGGAATGGCCAGCCCACTCAGCGAACAGCTTGCGTCGAGACACGATGCTCGGTGCAAGCGTGACCTTTAGCCAGGCCACAGCCGTCCCTGTGCCGAACGGCTGACCGCGGAAACACCTCGCCGAGATCCGTGATTCCCTCGGCAAGGAAGGGAATAGCAGGCCAGAAAGTGCCCCGAGATGCAGTACTCTTGCCAGCAACCCCGGCCCAGCTGGTGGTTGGATGGCAGTAGTGTGGACGGTCGTGTTCCTTGGCCGGAACCTGAATCGCCAGCGTCCGACACTTTGGCTCACTGTCTTCCATCTGCTGCTGCTTCGGCTCGTCCCCAGCCACGAAGCTTCTTGCCACGTCATCCTCACACGTGGCCCAGTCGTGACACGCCACCTCTATAGGCCATCACAGGTCATCAGCTGATTGGCTAACCTTAAGCGTACAGTTGGCACGAAATAACTTGTGCTCACCGTCGCAGCTTAGACGTCATCGTTTCTGTTGACTAATCACACCCAGTTAAAGTTAATTCCTTTGTTAATGTTTGGAATTATTTGTTCAAAGTAAAATTATCGCACTGTTCGGAAAATGGTTGCCTTACTATTTGAAAACTATTCGTATAGTATTCAATTGGTATTCGTATTCCATTAGTTTTCTTCACTATTCTGTTTGTGTTCTATTCATTTCTGAAATTTTCTGTGCTATATTAATGCAAGTAGTAAGTAATGTAAAATCGTTTTGGATGTTGAGAGTACTATATGTATAGTAAAAAGCTCGTTAATTTGACGCCCGTTAATTCGGAAATTCGGATAATTCGGACGGCTCTATTGGTCCCGGCCAAAGTGCATGTTAATCTATGGGACCAAACCCTCGTTATTTCGTCGGAATTCGGCTCCGCATCGCTTAATTCGGACAAATGCTGATGGCTGCTGCTACACAAAAGTGTGATAAAGCAGCACTGGCACCGCTGGAGTGAAACCGAAATCTGAGTGGCACCGGCATCATCAACTAGTGGGGGCGATCGCAGCGTCATCGAACGTCGGCGTCTTCTTTCTTCTCCACTCAGCACCTCTGACGCCATTTTCTCTTGTGTTGTCGTGTCGGAACCATCTCTTCTTGCGGAGTTCTCTTTTTCTTCCATTGTGACCGTATTTGCATGCCATCACCATCGTGCGCTACAGTGATGGCAACACCGAAAAAGCGGCAGAACTACAACGTGAAGAACTTGGCGACTAAAGTGGAAATTTTGGAAGCACTGAAGAACGGCGAATGGCGACAGCAGGTTATGACCAAGTACAACGTGAAGCGGAGCACGTTGGGAACGTACGTGAAAATGAACAACAGATTCGACAAGCCTTCGAAAGCGAGAAGTTTCATGCCTCTAGAAAGCAATTGCGAACCGCAGCTCATCCCCAGCTCGAGGAAGCTTTGCTCCGGTGGATTACTGACTGTCGCAACGCGCATCTGCCTTTGAGCGGACCTCTCATCATAGCGCAAGGTGAGAAGTACGCTGCAATGATGAACATTGAATCGTTCAAAGCGTCAGAAGGGTGGTTTGCGAGGTTTCGAGAGAGACACGAACTTGTCTTCAGGAGTGTGTGCGGCGAAAAGGCCAGTGTTGACGAAAGCGTGACCACCGAGTGGAGAAATGTGAAGCTGCTGGAGCACATCGCCGCATATGAACCACGTGACGTGTTCAATGCAGATGAAACTGCTCAATTTTTCAGAGCTCTGCCGGACAAGACGGTGACTTTCAAAGGGGACGCATGCATTGGTGGCAAGAAGTGCAAGCAAAGGATAACTGTGCGTCTTGCCGCCAATATGACTGGCACGGAGCGCTTGCCACTACTTGTCGTTGGGAAGGCGCTTAAGCCACGTTGTTTTTAGAACGTCAAAAGCCTTCCTGTCGAGTACACAGCGAACAGGAAAACACGGATGACATCGGACATTTTTCGCGGCTGGCTGCAGCAGTTGGACCGGCACTTCACGTCGAAGGACCGCAAGATAATTATGGTTGTTGACAACTGCAGTGCCCATAGCTGTACAGTCGAACTGAAGAGCATCAAAGTAGTTTTTTTGCTGCCCAACACTGTGTCTGCTCTTCGGCCGATGAACCAGGGTATCATTCACTATGTAAAGTCGAAGTACCACAAGCACCTGCTAGAGCGAATGATCCTATGCTCAGAAGCTGCAAAGTTGTATCAAGTGGACTTACTCGGCGCAGTGCACATCATCGCCCACGTGTGGAAAAACGCTCCGCCGCAAGTCATCGCCAACTGTTTTCGGCACAGCGGTTTTGTGAGGCCCTAGCATGCAGCAGTAGCTGACGATGGCATCGAGGAGGTGTCAGCCGAGTCCACCGACGATGACTGCCCGACTTTCGATGCTGTCCTTCCCACAGATGTAACCTTTCAGGACTACATTACGATTGATCATGGTGTCGCCACGAGTGGTCTCCTGACCGATCAAGAGATTATTAATGATGTCACCGGCGCCCATGAAGACCACGATTCCGACAAAGAATCATGCGAGGAGATACAGCCGCGACCTCATCGCACCTCACGGGAAGTCTCGGAGGCGCTGTTAATATTAGAGGACGCTTGCCTGAACACTTCCGACAGCTTACGTGCTGTTGGCCATTTGGAACAGTTAAGAAAAATTGTGATGTCAGCCGGAATCTGCGCGAAAACGCAGGCAATTACAAAATACTTCAACAAATAAAGGTATGCTTCTGCAGCTTGATTTTAAATATTTTTACTTGTTCATTCGTTAATTCCGCATTCGGTTAATTCGGACAGTTTTTCCGGTCCCGTGAAATCCGAATTAACGAGCTTTTACTGTACTACATTGATATTGACGTTGGCCAGCTTCACGAAACTGTTTTCACAAGGTCGACTCCATCTATGTCAGACCCGATGCCAAGCTTGAAGCTTTCTAAAAGGACCACTTTGGTGGCGATTTGTGGCAGTGTGTTGTCGAGTTCGACATGGGAGGGCAGGATATCTACTGCGATGATTTCATTACGGCCGACGATGATGCCGACACTACCAAACCGTGCATGGATGAGGGCATTGTGAATGAAGTGTGCAGCAAGAATGGTTTGGAGGAATCTGATGATAATGACGACGAAGCTTTGGAGCCAATGCCCAAAAGCTTGCTTGTAGCGATCAGCTACATTAGTAGCCTTAGGCGGCTTGTAACACCAGGGTCCTCGGTGAGGAGCACGCTGCCGCTTTAAATGAATTCGAGGCCATCCTTATCGCTAACGGCTCTTCAAAACTCATGCGTTGCGCACTTTTATACAAAAAAAAAATTGTTTTCACTCCCAACTCTCATAAAGCTGTTTTTCATTTACTACGAACTTCAGGATAGAGCCGACAGATGCCACGCCACACTCAGGTTCATTATAAGCCGACTCACCTGTACACACTAGCGCCTTTACACTCTTGAAGTGCTGCTGTGTTTTGACCAAGTATCGTGAAGGACAGCAGTACCTTGTGTAATGAGCAAATGCGCTGCATTCATGTCACAATTTATCTCGAGAGTTTTGCTGCGGATGAAGTTGAGAGAGCGAGACGAGAGTCTTGGGTAACATGGCAAACACATTCTAATATTACACAGTATGGTATTAACCATAATTTTACACTCAAAATTCTTTCCCCCCCACCCAAAAAAAAAGAAACGTACACAATAATCAGCTATACAACGAAACCGTAACTAACCTCGATCCAAGTCAAGTTCAATCCTTAGCTCTAATCTGTCTCTAGCTATAGAGAGAGAAGTAAACATTTATTTTGAAGCAGTGCCCCGAACAATGCCCGGTGTCACCCTAAGGTGGGAGGGCTCCTTAGTTCAGGAACCCTCTGACTTCTACTGCCCTCTTGGCCCTGGCGACGAGTTGTTGTTGCTCTTCCAGGTCCTCGAGGGCGAGCTTCGCCTCCCACGTTTCGGTTAGGTCTTCGTTCGTCCGTCCTGCTTCGTTATCAGTCGTGTGTTGTTGCAGATTACGTCTGGCTAAAGTGTACTAGAATATAGGGTAGTGGGTTCAGAGA